AAACACACGCACGCACGCACAAACACACACACACACACGCACAAACACACACACACACACACGCAAACACACACACACACGCACGCACAAACACACACGCACAAACACACACACAGTTATAAAGTCAGTTACATAAAATGGTAGATTTGTCTAATTTGAATTTTTTTAAGTAAGACTGATTACCCGGTTAACTGCTAGTTAGTCAAACATAGTGGCTATATGTTTATGCAACTGGCCCTAGTTCAGTAAACTTTCACAGAAGGCTAATATTAAATTTCAGTGTCTTGATCTTGACTAAATTAATATGTTGTAGTTTAGATCTAATAATTAACCAAAACGTGGTAGTTACTTGTTACTTTAAAATGTTTTTTTTTCATTTACAACTCTTTGTGTTTATACAGCCAATTTAACTTTACTGAAGACCCTGTCTGTGCACAAATACAATAAAGAAATCGCAAAATGATATTTACGAAATTACATTTTAATGAATGTTGCAACCGTGCCCTCTAATGGGGTCAGGTGCAACATTTGCCTTTGTCTATTCAAGTATAAATTGTACGTATATTCTCATCTGCACAGATGTTACAGAGTAGCTGACAGATGTGCTTTAACTGTATTCAGATGTTGGCTTTCTAATACAAACAGTCTCTGAGAAACTAAAGGAAATGCAAAAAGTGTTGCAACCGTCCCCAGTCTCCCCTACATAGTTCCACTCACTAACGGGCTTATATCAACCACAGCAACGTGCCATTAACTCGTCCCCTCGTCCCCTCGTCTTTATCACCTGTACCAGCCGAGTCCGCGCGCGTAGTGTCTGTCAAAGAAGTGCGGCTCTGCGCCGAGCGCCCGGATATCCGGATGCAGCCGCAGGAACTCCAGCAGCGCTCGCGTGCCTCCCTTCTTCACTCCGATGATGAGCGCGTGCGGGAGCTCCTTCCCTGAGCTGTTTGCATCCCCGCTATCAGGCGCCGAGAATATCTCTCTCCGCGCGGTCTTATTGTTATTCCATCCCGAGCTGCCCCCCGCGTCCGGCTCGCAGCGTCCCAGCAGAAGGTAGAGGATCGAGGCGCATATGGTGCTGAAGGAAAGCATGATGACTAGCCTCTGCAAGAGTCTCCGGAGGTCCAGGGGCGCGTTGCTAAAAGTTGCCATCCCCCCGAGGACGCTCTGCTGACGGCCATTCTCTCCAGGACTTCACCTGCTTCGCTTGGACGAAGACATCGCGCGGCACGGAGCAGCGTTCCTGAGCCAAACCCGCCTTACAGAGCGTCATTGTGTGACAGAGATCGAGCAGACGTGCGCTTCCATACTCCCAGAGGTTGTCATTGTAGGATTGCTGTCCTTCATCCATGAAACTTCAGCACTGTTTGATTGGAGGCTGAAGGCGGGTTTAATGCTGCTCTACTGATGCATCAGATGAGCACGGGATGAAATATGGCATGCATTGTGTTTCCATCATTTGGCCACAGTGGTGCACATTAATATTTGCTCTCCTTATAATAGTACACTCTAAAAAATGCTGGGTTGAATAGAACCCAGTGCTGGGTAAAATAGTGACAAACCCAGCAATTGGGTTGTTTTGACTGCCCAGAAGGTTGGGTTAAACATTTAACAAAACAGCCCAATTGCTGGGTTTGTCACTATTTTACCCAGCACTGGGTTCTATTCAACCCAGCATTTTTTAGAGTGTAGGTTTGTTTTATCATATTAAAACACAGCTTGTCACACCTTTTACTCCAGCAACTGTTTTTTACTGTTCTGGACAAAACCGGTCCGTCTTCACATTATCTGGGGAAATTTCTCACAACGGAGCCTGATTACATGCTTTTAATTTCAGCGAAACAAACACGAAACACCATTTTAAAATGTGGAACAAACAAAAATATTGAATATTGCAATTGTTGTACCCAGTAAATAAGTAACTACCTGCATTTATAACATTTCAAACACATTTGATATGGTTTCGATTAAAATGTGACACCTTGCCCCAAAACGACAAAATGCCGTTGTCCTGTGAACATGCCGTAATGCACAGAAATGCAAATTAAATGAGACTTAAAAACAATAAAAAAAATGTAATGTTCTTGCATTCCTTTGCATGCATGCTGTTTCCAAAACACACACACACACGTGTATATATATATATATATATATGATTTGTCAATTTCATTATTTTCTCAATTATGGTAAATTATTAATTCATAGACCCTTGCAGTCAGTTGAATAATGTGAACTTTTTTTGTTCTTTTTATCCAGAAAAATTGCAACCGTGCGCGAGAGCTCCACTGACCCATCGCAGCATATTTTGCGAATAATGACTTCAATGTAATTATCGTATGGCTTCAGAATATAATATTTGCATTAGATCTGGATTTGCATATGAGCAATCAAACATCAAAACCATCACATGTCTGCATGACTCTGGTTCTGTGACCCTCGAGCAGATCGTTCTGAAACCGTTTCAAGATGTCAGGCGGGTGTTTGTAGTGCAGTGATCTGATCAGCTCAGTAAAGCTGCTCATCACATTACTCACGCACGCACGCAGGCACATGAGGACAGTGTTCACGCTTTGCGTCAGTTAGAAAGCATCTGCACAAACATTACATACTGCTCTTATTTTTAAGATACTATCATTAATGTGACAAGTGCTGGACAGGGCAGATATCAGTGATTCTATTACCTGCAAATGCAGACTTCACTGATGCTATATCAGATAAACACCGAGAGCGTTTCATAGCTTATAATATTTATTGCATTACCCTTAATGATCCTTTTGCATCAGGGCAGCATCAGGGTAAATGCATTACATGGCTATTTTGTGGTGATTTATTTCTTCCATCTTCCAAGTGCAGATGTGACCGGGGTCAAAAGGTTAAATGTGCCCTCTCTTAAAAGAGCCATACTTAGTCATTCTCCAAAATGTATGATCTATACTAATATAATAATACATAATGATAAGGTATGACATAATATAAATATAATGCAATGCAACACAAATATAATCACATTTCCTTTAAATAGCTTTCCTCCACTTTTGTCTTTATAATCATCATATTTGAAGAATAATGAGATTTCATGATAAAAAAAATGATTAATAATTTAAAAATATTAATTTCTCAGTGCATATTTTTCTAAGTGCATTTAGGTGTTAGCCATGATTTAGAGAGTTCCATTTTGTTTTATCAGCGCATTAATGTGTAATGTAATGAATTTTTATAAATATAAAATGTATATATATTTATATATTTAAAACATTTATTTAAATGTAATTAATTTTAAATTATATATGCATACATGTACACAAAATTAATTATATATATATATATATATATATATATATATATATATATATATATATATATATATAAATAAAAAAT